TCCACGCCCAAACAATCCCACCCAAGCCAGCCATGCATTCTGCACAATGACTTCAGCCCCACCAGCCTTTTCCCAGGCCAGCGCGAGGACTTTGCCAAACAAGTGCTTTACGCCTGGTATCGCCCGTCGAAAAGGCGCTCCCCTTGGATCCCGCACAGTCATGTGTAGACGTGTATAGCGTACAAGGGATGAGGGAAGGGTGAGATTGTGGGTTGCTTGGGGGAGAAGGTGAGGGGGAAGAAGGGGGAGAGGAAAGGAAACAAAATTCAGATGATCAAACTTCTCGTAGTAAAGGGTTTGCGAATAGAACAGCCAAAATAGCCATGACTCTGTCTACTTTGCCATCAAATGATACATATCCATCTCACCAAATCCCCACATCCAGCCCAGACTATTCACACCTCACCAGTCATCTAGAACGAAAACCGGGCAGACAAACAAAATGCCCATGCAAACGCGATTCAAACTCTAAAATCTCCTTTTGCTGCAATGACTACCCTACTCCAAAGCCTTTGACAGCGTCCACCATCGCACAAACCCCAATCTTACAAACCGTCCAGCCTACAACTTCGCCTTTGCCGGCTCGACCGTCGGCATCATAAGATCCCTCATATCACCCGCCGCCTCATTGAGATAGAAGCTCATCTTCTCCTGATTGCGGAAAAACGTTAGCCAGATGCACACACTCAGTTTGCAAAAGAAAGGGGGGGGGGGAAGGAAAAACAACAACAACATACCGAGCCCAAACCCTTGGAGCAAACATTAAACTGAATGCTATTCTCATTAATCATGTACGCAATCCCCCACCCATCATCCACCACCTGACTCCACCCGTACCCATTAAAGTACTCGCTGCTCAGCTGCGAGCTCGAAATGAACCACGTCGAGCTGTACGTGTACGCCGGATCCTCGTACAGCGCCGGCACCGGCTCCCCGGCCTGCAGGCACTTCTTCAGCCCAAACAGGTGGCGGTCCACGCCCCGCCCATCACTCGCGTCCGAAATGTAGCGCACGTGCGCGTCAATGGCCGCCCGTAGCAGCTTCTGGCACTGTTCTGGCGTGGCGTTGGGGTCGGCCATGGCTGCCGTAAAGGCTACGCTTTCGTCCGACACCGTGCGGCAGGTTTCCGTGCGGCCTTGTTGGAAGCGGCGGGTGGCGGCGGATTCGTACGTTGGGCGGTTCTTGCCGTAGAATTTGTGGTATGCGAGTTGGATGATCATTTGGACGTAAGCGTCGGGGGAGCACTTGAACTTCTTGATCAGGCCCTTGCCGTAGCCCTGGTAGGCTTGTACGCGGAGCTCGTGCGCGCCGATTTGCTGCGCAAAGTGCAATTGGGCGGCCGTGATGTCTTGTTCGAGGTCTTTTGTGATTTCGAAGCGAAGGGGCTTGGGGTTGGGGAGGTCGGAGCGGACGTTGGGGTCGTCAAAGGGCAGGGCGTTGGTGAAGATTTGTTGGTTGGCGTAGTCGTTGAGGCGGTGCGTGGGTGTGCCGTCCATCATCGAGTGCTCGCCCATGAATCCCGAGGTACCGTTGTCGTTGACGATGAATTGCAGGGGCTTGTCGAACCAGCGGTTGGAGCCGTCGCCATGCCAGTACTGGTGTGCGCGCTCCTCGAGAGTGACGGGTGATGCGTCATCGAGGCAGACAACGAAGGAGGCAGATTCAATGGCCTCAACCGATGCGGCGTTGACGGGAGAAGAACCCTTGAGCTTAGGGTAGACTTCTGACCACACATCACGGTTCTGAGATGTGAGGGCACCCACTGCCGGCGCTCTCTCCGCCTTCTCCAGAATGCGCTTGAACTGCAGCTCGAGTTCGGCCGTGTTCAGCTGCTTGCCATTAATCTCATGGGGGATCTTCCAGAACTGGTTCTTCCGCACGACGATGATGTGCTGGTTCTCCTTGAAGGGATACTTGATCGTCGTGTCTGCGGGCTTCTTGGGCACACGGCAGCAGTTGAACATGTACTCGTAGGAGCTCATGGCAATGGGCAGCTTCTTCATGTATTCGGGCTCCAGACTGCCGCTGTCGACCATTTTCTTGAACTCCAAGACGGCGGTGGAAAGGGCAGCGGCGCGCTTGGCGGGGTCCCTTCGCTTCTTGTCGTCGCGGTGGGAGTAGAAGTAGCTGACGTAGGGGACGACTGGGTCGCGGTAGGCCATGTAGGCCGCCTCATTCCACCAGTCGTAGATCCAGTTCTTGATCTCTGGGTTTTCTCTCCGCGCCACCAACCGCTTCTGAAGCTTCTCTCCAAGCCCACCAGGAGCCACGAATTCGTCTACGGCCTTTGTAGTCGCCTTGAACTCGGTTTCCGAGAGCAGGGGGTGAACGGATTTGAGGTATCGCTTGGCCGTCTCCTCGAGTGTGGGGACGGGCAGCTTGGGGAGCGAGTCCTCGAAGCGCAGCATCTTGCCTTTGCTGAGATCCTCCTTGTAGCCTACGGCCACCATTGCATGTCAGCTATTTTTGCGCCTCGTACACGGTTATGCGACCACCGGAGAGAGTTTGCTGTGACTTACCCGCTGGGAGCGACGACTGTTTCCTTGCTGCTGGCGCCATTGCGAAGATCTGTCCGGACAAAACCATCAGCACTCACTCATCTTCACATGTCCACATGTCCACCCCACCCCCACCATCTCCCAGAGATTTCAGCAAACATACTCTCGGCGTGGTCGGTATCAGAGTCGGTCTGCGAAGTATCGAGGCAGGTACTCGCGCTCGTGCTGCTCTACTGAACATCACAAAGGAAATCTAGAGGAGGAAGGAGAAGAAGACGAAGAAGACAACAACAACAACGAAAAACGAGCAGGGGAGGGAAGGCCCAAAAAGCTGAGGCCAGACTTTCTAGCTCGTTCAAAAAAGCACAGATCCGAGGCGCAATTATCACAGGACGCGCGACTAGGGGGGAAACTGTCGGCGTTGTGGACTACTGCGGGCCGTGGGGACAGTGAATGGCAGGGCTGGGGGGAAGGGGAATTGTGAGCCGAGGTTCTCGGAGGAACGTTTGGGCCTGACCCGTGACGTAGTGCGGGAATGCGACAACACCCATCCACCACCGGCCGTTCATCCGAATCGAAAATGGGTGCGCCTCTATATGTAACCATCAATGCATTGTCTTGACAATGGACATACTTTCAAAGCAAACATCTACCTCTGGACTTCCAACTATCACGAGGCTGTTTGAGTTTCTTCTTCCCCACCAAGTCCTTGGATGGTGTTCAAGCAACCCCCCCCACACACCCAATGTATCTCCCACCCTGTGTTTTTTGCACGGACGCTCTAGCCCGGCATCTTTCACACGAGCCGAGGCCATTGATTGTGGACACCTTGGACTGTGTGACAGCAGCAGCACACCTGTTTTTTTTTTAGAATCTATTGGCGCTATGCAGATACTCTTCGCACGAGCTGTCGGGCGAGACAGAGTAACCGCGGCCTTGTTGGTGCATGTCCTGTCTTGATGTCTTGGCCGATCAAAGCGGTAATCATAGTACCTAGTGGTAGCCTGTCAAGGTATTCACACACCAGAGCATTGTCATCAGTCGAGCATTGCATGCATGCTAGTCATCATTTTTGTGCAGACATAGCGAGAGCATGTTGCCAAAGGTGAACATTATAATCTAGACTATTGCCAGACGCTGAATCGTCAAAAATGCCTTCAACACCACACTGCCGTCCAGAGCCATATTGTACACTTGTGAACCCTCCTACTCAATCAGACGAGTAGTTTACGGGTTCTGCTTGACCCACTCAACACCCTTCTTGATGTTCTTGCTAAGATCCGCCAAGCACACATCGAGGAGCTTCTGCTCGTAGTCGGTGATCTTGCCAACGGGGTGGATCTTCTCCACACCGTTGGGGCCGAGCTCGACGTTGGACGCAAAGTACTCGCAGCCCTGGTCCTTGTACAAGGGCGAGTCGACAAACGTTGGCTCGATGACGTTCTTCTGGCCCTGAGCAGCCTTGAGGAGCGACTCGGCGAAGCGGGCACCAGCCATGGCCATGGAGAGAGTGGCAGAACCGGCTCCGTCCTTGGCCTGCACCACCTCGTCACCGCCAAACTGGACGCGCTTGACGTAGGCGTCGAGCTGCTCGCCCGACAGGTTGTAACCAGACTGCGAAAGGAGGGGAACAATGGTAGCGCCGGAGTGACCACCGACGACCGTGATGTTCTCGGTGGCGGGGTCCGTCTTCTTGAGCTGGGAGATGAAGCACGAGGCGCGGACGACGTCGAGGGTGGTGACACCGAAGAGGCGCTTGGGGTTGTAGACACCATTGGCCTTGAAGACCTCGGCGGTGATGGGGACGGTCGAGTTGACCTGTGCATGTCAATACTGGCTCAGAGCGCATCTTGGTTGCGTATGCGTACGGGGTTGGAGATGATCAAGATGTTGGCATCAGGGGAGTTTTCGGCGGCGGCCTTGGCCAGATCGCGGACGATGGAGGCGTTGGTGTTGAACAAGTCTGTAGACAGTCAGCGCCAGCAAGGATGGTTCATCGTGCCATTGTTTACCATCACGCGTCATGCCAGGCTTGCGGGGAACACCGGCAGGGATGAGAACAATCTCAGCGCCCTTGAGGGCACCTGCGAGACCAGAAGGACCAGCATCGTAACCCTTGACCTTGGTGGGGTGTCAGATGGTCATCGTGACGCACACAGGGCAGAAGTGCTATCATACCTCGCTCTTGGTGTTGATGTGACCAATGTCGGCGGCGACCCCTAGAGAAACAAATCTTTCAGTACTTGTCCGTGACAGCCGGTCGGAGAGCTGGTAGCCTACCGGGAGCCAGGCGGATATCGTAGAGAGCAAGCTCGGAAACCCTTGGGTTGAGCTTGAGGAGCAGCGACAATGGCTGTCCAATACCACCCGCAGCACCGAGCACAGCGACCTTGGAGTTCTACAACATGACCATCAGCATCATTTGCGCCCCCCAACAATGCCAATTGCGATTCGGGGAAGAGACAATGCGCAGTCTTCAACACCAAAGAAAATCGGAAGCGCATTGTGTCGAGATGGATCATACCTGGCGGGCCGAGACCGAAAAGGCGCGGCGTCCAGCCTGTGTGAATGCTTGCCTGGCAGCGAACATTTTGTGTGGAATGGAGTGGTGGTGAGGAGATGGGAAGGGGTGGGGATAGGTGAGGTCGAATTGGTGGGTTGTCGGCGGTGAGGGCAAAGAGCTTTTGCGGGCAAGGTGAAAGAATTACCTCAGCCGAGAAGCATTGACCCTCTCCCCTCACCCACGCCCACTCACCCGTCCTGCATCCCACTCCGACTCATCCCGCAGGCCCATCCACCATATCAGCCAGAGCCTAACGCTTGTCTCGGGCATTCGAGTTGCAGCAGAATTGACACATGTAGCGGATTCTAACCGACTACCCACGTTATAATGGTTTTGCGCTCCCATCATCCAATGGTTACTGGGTCCCCCGCCAGTCCGAGGTGTTCCACTGCTGTGTTACCTCGCCTCGTACGAACTCGCAATGAAAAGAGATGGTAGCAGTCCTTCTCTTTACTATCAGGATTCATGTCAATACCTCCACTTCTCATCTTCATCGTCGTTCAGCACTTTCAAAGATCTGCGCTCTGGCGACTCTTAGAGTGAACCTTCTCATACCGTAGTCCAGCCAATGGCAACTTCTCCAAGTGACTCAATTCTCCTCACAGCCACCACCTTCGTACCGAGTAGGCTATGCTATCCAGGCATCATTGCCAGACCTGATACATGGAGAGTCTAAGCTCAAGGTCCCTTTATTGACTCACAGCGCACCATATTCCACAAGAATAGATAAATACACGAGTACACTCAACATGTCAAACATGACCTCACCACACAGCATCTCTTTCAGTCCAAGCAGGCTTAGCCCAAATGGCGTCTGCCTCAGAACCCTCCATATCATTAGAAGATGATCGGATCGAACCAAAACATTCACCCAAAGACAACTCCAACACTCAAGCAGTCGACCATGGTTCCCAAGAAGAATCCCAATCATCGATCCTCGAGCTCCAAGAAGCCCTTGGGCCGCTCCTCCTCGCCCGCAAACACAAATGTACATGCCTCACCCAACACCGCAAAATCCCATTCATCCCCAGCCACGGCTGCCTCGACGCCCGCGAACCCCTCAAGCCAAACTGGACTGGTGCCTTCCGACTCTTCTCCTTGCCCAGCGAACTACGTGACAAGATCTACCTCCACTACCTCCACCGTCCAAGCGACTACACTTGGACTCGATACAGCAGAGCGCGCAACTTTGCACCAAAGCAACGCCCCGCTGACGACGTAATGAGTCTCCTGCTCACATCGCGTCAAGTCCACGCCGAAGCCTGGGACGTCTTTTGTCGCTACAGCACCGTCTACCTCAACCGGGACCCCAGGGATATCTACGCTAAACGTCTCGACGATATCTTACGCTACTTCCCCTACAGGCCGTCGCGAACCCTGCAATGCGTAGGAAGCGTCTACTGGAGCAACAGCACCTGGGGCAATGAAAACGGCGCACCAGACTCCTTTCTCCAGATCCTCCGCGACGCCCACGAGATGAAAGCCCAGTTCCCCCGGCTCCGCATCTTCAGCGTGCGCTATGGTGCACATGGTCCGTCCGATGCAGAACCGCTACTCGTAGACTGCAACTGGAGCGAGCAACGCAAGATCGCAAAGATGCTCGATTGGATGAGGCACGTCGTCGCGCAGAGCAACATCGAGCCGCCTGCATGGGTACGCTGGAAATTGTTCGGGCACTGGAGGCAGGATGAGCCATTCACAGAGCGCGATCAGAATTCGATGGGTAAGGCGTATGGACTGCTAGTTAGGGAATGTAGCGGGCGGAGCGCGTGCGAGGATTCTGGTAGTAAGTGGATTGAAGAGACGTCGAGGCTGGGAGGAAGGCGTAGACGTCAAAAGCCGTAAGTGTGCATGGTTTGTTGTAGGATGGGCAAAATGGAAGATTGGTATGGACTGTTCATCCCGCATAGCAACATAGCTATCACATTAGAAAGAAACGCGGGAATCTCCAACGAAACGCCAGAATTGGATATAACAAACACACCCGACAAAAAGAATTTCCAAACTCCCTTCCACCTTGCCTTGTCGATACAACAATCAACCCACCACCCAACCCCCCAGCAAATATACACAAGAAAGAAAAACCTCCGACAATCTCCATCTCACAACCCCCCCTCCTTCTCACCACTCACTCCAATGCCCCCCACCCCCCACCTTCTCAAACTCCCTAACCTCGCCCTCGCGCCTCCGTCGCGCCCGCTCTCTACGTCCAAAACAGCTGAGGAGTCGGGCGAAGGGGTTGCGCTGGCGGGGAACGAGGCCGTCGTATTCGGCGGCGTGTTTGTGTGGGGTGGTTGTGGTTGTGGGCGTTTGTGAGGAGGGGGATGGTGATGTTGAAGGTGATGTTGAAGATGATGTTGATGTTGGAGGTGGTGGGGTGAGAGATGTACTGGGACTGAGCGGGATGGTGGCGTTGATGAAGATGAGGTCCGAGGTGGGGATAAGGGTTGTAGTTGAGGAGGATGGGGTGGGTGTTGTGGTGTTGGCTTTTGGGGAGGTTGGGGTTGAGGGGAGGGTTGGACGGGGGGAGGATGGTAGGCCGGTTCTGGTTGGGAGGGGTTGGGGAGACATTGCGTCTGTTGTGGGGGGTTTTTCTTGTGTCGGTTTGGTTTGTTGTTTACTCTACGGTTGAGGGAGTCGAGTGAGGTGTTCGTGTTGGAGCTGGTGCAAGGATGGAGTGGCCTGGTCGGTTTTTTTTGGGTAGGTGGGGGTTTGTTGGATGGTGTTGACGGTGATGTTGCTGTCTGAGGGAGTCCTGTGGGGTTTTTGGTGTTGTATTTGTATTGGTGGTTGTTTCTTGTTCGATGTTGGGTGACGTGGATTTGTATCGATGGGCTTTTCAACGACTCTTTCCAACCACCAAAGTCAACAATAGCGTCCAGACAAACAAATCCAACTCGAGAATCGCGTCGTCGAAGAAGAAAAAAACCCCCAACCCAGGCGTATACAGCTCCGTCGTGTCCAAAAGACGAACCAAAAAACCCAATGTTATCCTGTTTGTTTATATGGCATGCAGTGTCCCCACCAGCTCCAGATCAGCACAGAGCACGGCGCAGCACAGCACAACACATATGCGGTGCCACCCTCAAGTTTATATCTTTTTCCCCCAGGGGAAAGAAAAGACATGCCTGCAACCCCATCCCCCTTTCCACGCTAAAACGGCTGCAACATTTCCTGCAGGCGTATTATTACCCAGGGGTAGGTGTACCGGTATGTGCACGCGGGGGCTTGTACTTCCGCTACACTGTGACTCCTGTTTCTTACCTACCACAGGTTAACCCGTTGCCCTACCGGTACCGGTATGCAAACCCGTCCCAGGATTCCCAACGCGAGCAGCGGGCTTGCGGCAAGGCAGGTGGATGTGCATGTGTATGTACATACTGTTACTGGATTATGCGCGCTGTTATAGCGTTGCAGAGATGCTGGGTACCGGTAGGTACGTCTTGGTAGCCATCGTATTTGTTTGTTGTTCTTGCGTCCCTCGCGTCGCAGAACTCTGGATACTATCGGCAACGGCAAAACAATCTTAGGGTTTTGCTGGAACGGACTCTGTTCTCATCGGCGCAGTTGCAAGGTTCACTGTGAGAGACCGTGCCGTTTTGCAAGGTAGAGCGGAACAAGGCGTGCTCAGGCGTGCATTTGTTGCTGATCGGGAAGCTTAGCAGGAGGGAGGGGGGCGGGTGGTCGATGCGTACTGCATTGCGCATAGCACAAGACAAGAGATTGTGTGTGTCGAATTGAACGTTTCCCCAGACCAAGAATACCACAAGAGGTCATGCAAGGTGTGTCTCTCGTTGGACCGGGGGGTTTTCTTACCTTACAAGCCCCCCTGCACGACGTTGAAACGGCGGTACGGTCGCATGTTTTTTGGGGCCTTTTTGGTTGGAAACAATGGCGAAAGTACTTCCATATTACAGCCGTTGTTCGTCGACCTTACTCATGTAACCTACATGCGGGTTCAATGACGCCGTTGCTATTGCTGAAAGGCCCTTTGGACAGTACCATATTGATTTCCCGTTGGCCATGCATGAGGGTGTGTGCAAAGTGCATGTGAGAGTCATGATGGTGGCAGAAATGACACCGCGCCGCACACCCAGCTAGCTGGATCGGTGGTGCAGATGACAACGAGATGCCTGAAGGAGCCTCCTTTGTGCAGTTATACGACCGCGCCGCAATCAAAGTGGGTGTGATAAGCCCTTTGATGGGTGGCCAGAGGGTCACGTTCAAGACACTGCAGCCTATTCGCAGATCTGCTGATCACCAAAGGATATCGATATATAGACATCTACATGGCCAGATTGTCATCATGATCATTGGCATGGTGGGTGGGTGTGTGAGGGGGGGCTGGTGAGTTGGGTGACAGATTGGAGATTGGGCGGAGCGATGTGTCTCTGCGGCACAGTTTGACACAAATGTACGCAGCCAAACACGACCGGTAGGTGATATCCAGGCTGAGTGGTCGTGTCTTATCTTGTGTCTTTGTACTTGGGCTGTACGGAGCATGGGAGTTGTTCTTCCCAGGAAAACGTGTAGGTGGATACATGAGGTCTCGACCACGTTGAAGAATGACCATCAGCACGCACTGCAAGACAGCAAGCAGAGTTGGGCATGATCGACATCGCCCCCCGCAGTCACATCACTCGGGAACTGCCTCATCTTCCGTAATCTTGCAGGGGCACTGTTGGATACAGTGGTCCAGCGAGACTGTGACTTGACGTTGAAGCGTGGCGTAGTTGTTTGCTTCGCTCGCCAACACTATACCAGCAGTAAGCGTGCAGTCGCGCAGCGATACCAACGCATCCTTTACACCGCTTGTGATCTTGATGGCACCATCACAGATAAGACAAAGTGTTGTGAAAGTCATGGCCATTCAACGGCGTTCCCATGTTTTTTCACAATCTTGCCTGACGCCGCTGGATTCACAGCTCAGACGCCACTGGGTGGATGGTTACTGCTGCTATTGGAACAGCAACTGCTTTTTAGCCAACGGGGGGTTTTGTCAGTGGAACCAGTTTTTTGAGATCGTATGATCGAAATTTGAGTGTGTGACCGGTAATTGGATGGGTACAACACGTCAGTGTCATCGTAACAACGTTAACTCTGGTTCGGGTTTAGGCTTCGATCAGTCCACCATAACTGTAGTAACTCTAAAAATGTGTCCCAGGGGCGGGGTAATATTACGGTCATCGATTCGGATCCTCATTTCTAAACATGTTCAAGATGTGGGAGCAGGCCAACGGACGAGAGCTACGGTGGTCTGTAATCGATGTTGACATTATAAAGTCTCAACAAGTTCTTAGAGAGATACGCGATTGCATAGATGGATGAGTAAAAGATGTACCGGTAGTGAGTTCACTAAACAATCTTCGCTGCAACTCCACTCCCATCCAATCTAATATACTTCCCAAGTAAGTAGCCCGCACCAACGCGCTCATAAAACCTTTCTCCGCGCCCTGCCATCCTATGCATGGAACGCACAAGCAAGACGTAATACCTGCCTTCTCCAATAGAAGTACCATTCTGAGGCTTAGCAACAACAACACACTGTGCATGCCGCTCATTGGAATCAGCAGTCCTCTTGGTATCGTAAGTAAGTTCAAACTCATCCTCCTGTGCGGCACCAACATCAAGGTCCCGAACCATAACTTGCAACGCTATCTCATTCTGCTCGGGTGCCGAGTCTGCAATGTGACTTCCACTGCGTGTCCAAGGCGCTTTCAGTTCCTCCCTCTCCCAACACGCACTATTGAACGGCGGATTCGTGTACTCGATACCACCCTGATACGCCATCCAAGACCAGCTAGGAACGCGAGCAAGACCTGTTGCACGAAAGTCAATGCGCGCAAAAGATCCCGCGCCTCCAGTCACTGTGCTACGTCGCCAGAGCAGACTTCTCCCAAATAATCCGTCTTCTTTCAATTCACCGTCGTCAAAGATGCCGTAGGTGCCCTTTGTTCCAAAGGCTCTTTGTAGTCGCTTTTCCAGCCCTGCAATGGCAATCGGTCGGTCCTCAGGTCGACTGAATCCAAGGCGGGAATATTGCTCGTATAAGCCCTGGAAGCAAGCAATCTTTGAGCCGCGATTGCGCAGTGTTTTGTGGGGAAATTTGGGGTCGCCGAGGAATTCGGCCATTGGACTTTTTTTGCATAGGTTAATTCTCGCACTTTGTTCATGGCGAACGTACAGAGGTTATGAAGGTTCACTTACTTGTGCATGGTAGTCATCGTTTCGCACCGAATCCCGGCCCCACATTCAAAGTAAGTTTGTGTCTTGGTAAAGTAGATAGTTCTTCGCGCGAGTACCCTCTCTTGTAACACCCATCCGCGTTTATTCAATGACCCCTGAATCACATCATCGTTAAAGTTGTCGATGGCCTCACAGACATAGAATGGTCCTTCTGCGGCGTGATCGATCGTTACGAAATTTCGCTTCGGTCGGCTGTTGAGGAAGCCGCTGAGTTGGTTGGTTGCCCGGCTGGCTGCGAGGACGCAGTATGCCCCGCTGAAGACGGACTCCATGTGTTTTGCCTCTTCATGGAAGTCACCGTCATCGCCTTGTACTATGCAGATGGAGTCGATCCATAGGTACCGGATTCCTAGGTGCCGAGTGCAATCTACCGCGTCTCTGAAGGTGGCTGGGAGTTCTTGGTATGGTATGGCTTCTTCGAATGACTGCTTGTTTGAGTTCAGCGTCCGGAACGTCGTATACGTTGTCGGATCGCCCCATGGATGTGAGAGCGCTATGTACTCCTCAGATGTGATGGCATTGTTACCAGTTGGCACTAGGCGTAGTATCGGAGTATCAAGCGTGCCTACGTCAATGAGTCTAGTTGGTAGTCGTTCGCGCAGCTTTACGTAACAGTCTTTATGGTTGTCGTTGGTGACCGATGTATTATTGCAAACCTCAAGCCACATCTTGAGGATGCCGTAAAATTCAGTCGATCCGGGCGGCAGAAGAATTGGGAATCCCAGCTGGCAGTCTACCAGCGACCTTGATTCTAGTTTGGGTTAGCATATCAGACTATGGAAATTTGTGTTGATACTGGTAAAAGAACACGACTTACTGGTACTTCGGACAAGTGACAGGACTGGGGTGGGATAACCTGGCAGGAAGAGATGTGATTGTCTCTTGTCGACGACGATATTCTCCTCCTCTTTGGTATTTGCATTCGAGATCGCCGTCATCAACAACTTACACAACTGACAGTCCTTTGCGTTCTGCGACAAATTCGATCGTGTGTCACTGATGGAAAATCCTGCCTCCCAGAAGTTCAAGTTGCTGCATCGGTGGCAAAGCTGAGATGGTCGTGATGGCTGCTGGTGACTCTTAATTTGCGACAATACTTTCTCCGCGAATGGGTCGTCACGAGTGTAAACCCAATCCTTCAGAGGAGGTAGCGTGTAATCTCGTCTCGCAAGTTCCGATAATGCTCCATGATCACTCAGCGGTGCAGCATCTCCAGTCCCAAGCGCAAGAGGCGAGCTAAGCCTTTCAGTGTGAGGCGCAAGCCCTGCGCCAGTAGAACTCCCTCTCGATAACAGCAACTTAATGGATGCCCGTTCACCACCTACATGTAGATATTCTGGACAATGTGTCTTCGAGATGATCTCATCCATGGCTTCGCGGAACTCGGTAGCCGTTGCACGATAGCGAGTTACATCCTCGTCGATCCCTGGCGGCACGAGGCGGGGTTTTCCGTTGAAGTCGCTTTCACGGCCTGGTGGCAGAGGGACCACCAAGAGCTTCTCACGAACAAGTCTGAGAAGGTCTTTGATCGCAGAATCCTTGGAACATTCAGGGTCAAACTGGAGCATCTGATTGATCCAGCGACGCACAACGTGGTGAACCTCGCGTCGAAGTGCGTCTTTACTTTGCTTCTCAAAATACGGGCCTATTTGCTTTCCATCGCCTTTGACCTGGTCGTGGAAATTCACCAGTTGGTCGTTCCCATGTAGTATCCAGATGACGAACTCCAGAACGATGCATCCCATCGACCACACATCATACAACCGAGAGCGACCACCATTTTCAGTCTCCACCGCTTCAGGGGGCTCGTACTGGATCGTGCCATATCGGGTGCTGGTTTGGAATCTTCGGTCTCCAGTCTTTTCAATATGCTGTTTTGCAAGTCCCATATCAGCAATTTTCATCGTTCCTCGCTCAGACGAGCCATCCATAAAGACAAGAATATTCTCCGGCTTCAGATCGCCATGCCGGATGGATCTCGTGTCTTCCATCACAACATGCTTTGGCTTGCCGTGCTCGTCGTAAAGCTGCACTTCTGGGATCTGGGTGTTGTTTTCGTCGTCATGCAATCCATTTTGTCCGTCCTGGCTACTATTACACTGATGCAAGGTATCAAGGGCATCAGCAAGCCCTCTTATCTGATGCAAAGCCCATGTGATGAGTTCGGCACTTGGATCTTGTTTTGGCATTGACTCCCAGCGATCACGCAAGCTGCCACCCTCGGCCCAGGGGAACATGAAATAGCGGCTGTCACCTCTCCTTATTGCCGCATCACACCGTATAATGTGGTGATGATTGAGTATGTTGATCTTCGCCAGTGCTGTCGCCTCCCGATCCCAAGCGACATCGGTTCCGCTCTTGTCGTTTCCCCTTGTCACTCTGATTTCCTTGATAGCGACCTGTGAATGGACATTAACTGTCATTCTCAATTACCGCTCAGTTTAGCGCACCTACCACTCGGGATCCAGGACTTATGTGGTGATCGTCATGTATCCTGACCTTGGTGACAGAACCGAAGGCACCGACTCTCGGTCTGTCACTCTCAATCTTAAAGGGAAAAATGCACTGAGCAAATTCATTGTAGGTGTATTTGGTCGAAGAAAAAACAGGCGCCAAACATGTCCATTGCTCCTCATAGAATTTCCAATACGTCCAATTCCCCCAGAGATCGCTTGGGAACGCACTCGCAACTCGTAAAACGTCCCTGTCAGGATAAAGTTGTGGATCATCAATGGGAAGGTCCTTGTCTTCGAAGTCGGCCTCTGAAAATACCAGCATGGCATCGTGTACAAAGTCATAATCTGACTTGCATTGTAATGTGATGGTAAAGACCTTCAGTGCTCTTGTAACAATCCAGTCGACTAACGCTTGTCGTTCATCTGCATCGTAATCACGGTATAGGACCGACTTTTCCAGTTGTTCTTGGACAGCAACCTTGGTTATGTATTGTCTGATCGTGTGATCTGTCAAGTAGTTGCGCGGCTTGTCATCATAAGTACTAACTGCGTACAACCTAGGTAGCTGATCCACGAGGGACGTGGTCGCATTCTGGTCACGAATTCTTCTTCTACCTGTCTTGGGCTTCACGAATATTTCAGCTGAGATGTCATTGATCGATATCATGGACTCGTTCGCTCTTGTTTGGTTGCTAGAGTCCCTCCGCGGTCCAGAATTAGTGACAGTCAATGGCCTGAAATGACCGCTAGTATGGTGTAAGGTCATTGTCCTTTGAGCGGTTGTGAACGTGTTGGCGAGAGACTTTGGGAGCAAAGATAAGAGTAACCCAATATGAATTACACGAAGCAGTTGACACAAGTGCAATATATGTCGAAAATTGTTGGGGGCCTTGTTATTTCATACAGACAGCTGTCATGCTGCTACCCTCTCTAGGGCATATACCATTGGTTTCAGTTGTGCCGCAGAGCCTCTCGTAGACATGCAAGTCAACAAAGGGCGCATTCACTGAGAACCGGTGACATTGCGATGCAGTTGCATTCAAGGACCTTGTGCTGATACCGGTAAGCGGTCCTTATCCCGACCTGCCCTTTTGCACATCTGCAAAGGCGCCATAACCCCGCAGCTGAAGCCCGATCTATTACACATGTTGGCTCCCTGTGTCCCGATCTGCATGAGCCTGTTTTCGGCTACACACCCACAAAACTCATTGGACAAGCAGCTCTCAGTCATTCCTGATTCCTTGGCGGGGTATGGATTACGTTCCTTGTCCGCGCCTATCCACTGAGGTTTTGCAGTGAAGGTACCGGTGAACCAGGTGAAGCGAGTCTGACTGCGCATTCACAGTATTCGATCGTCGTCTTCTGTGAATTTTCAAGCCAATAATTGTACAAAAAGAATGCGTCAATTTGCGCTCTCCCCCTTACGTGATTAGGCGGAAAGCGGAAAGTCATCATTGCAGGTCGCCAATACAAGTCCGAGTTCTTTGCAACCTGTAGGGCGCTGGGCTAGCTGTTAAATTTTCAGAAATCTTCTTCTCAACCTCGACGGGCAAGTCCACCTTCATGGACTCCGGCAGTGGGTCTACCATTTGCTTGTTTCCCGTCGTCCACGGTCGAGCTTTGGCCGCATACTGAGGATCTTGGAGACATCTTTTGTAAATTTTCTTTAGTTGGTCTTGGACTTTCTCGCAAGTCAAGCGGTGCTCAGATGCGATAACGAGCATGTCGTTTTGTATAAAGACCAAAAGCTCATGAATATATTCCGTACACTTGGGATGTCGATGTAACTCATGGATGAACTGTATCGCGAATATTAGCTTTCAAGTGGAATCGGTGGAAGGGAAAGGTCTGCATACCTTACTGACTGCAGGCTTCACTCTTACTCCCAAGTCGTCTAAATCTGAGCTGTCGGGATTTTTCACAAACTCGAAGAACGTATCCGTGATCTCGTTGTTCAAGTATCGATCGCGCGCTTTCCTTTTCTCGCCAAATTTGTTGAACAAGACCTTACCACCAAGCAGCCAAGTGACGAATTCGAGGTAGACACAGCCCAGACACCAGATGTCGTAGGACTGGCGAATGCGCTTTGGCTGTATGTCACACTCTGGAGGCCGGTAGGTCATGGTATTAGCAACGCTTCGCTGCCTCGTTCTACTCTGAAGGGAGTTCAGTTCTGCTTGGCCAAAGTCCGCGATTTTAAGTGTGCCACAAGGTTTGTCGCTGATTTCAGGACTGCCACAATACCACAGAATGTTGCCTGGATTGATGTCACCGTGACGGCCGTACTTGCGCACCTCTACCTTGTCCTCATCGTTCTGTAGAATCGCAGGCTCCGTGCGTCCAGTGCTGCTCATGTGAGTATGTTCTTGTCGCAATAGTAATCGAACACGGACGCCATTTGATTGCATAGAATCCGTTCGCACATGCTCGAGCTGAGGACCAACTTTCATTCGTTTGTCTTCGCCAGGTCTCTGAGTTTGCTGGCCACCCGTATCGGTTCGACGGACTGAGAAACTCAGGTCAAAATGCAATTTCATGAGCCCTGCTGCAATACCGGCACACTGTTCAGCCATCCACAAAACGGCCTGATAGTCAAATACAGGGTTGGGCATCAGCTCATTCCAGAGTTTGAAGAGATCGCCCTCGGCACGATAGAAGATGAAGTTGAACTTGTTGCGTTGCTCGTAAGTTGCGAGTAGGGATACAATATGCTTGTGAGTGCGTGCTCCGCTGAACTTTCTTAGAATGTACACTTCACGGTTGAAAGACTCGCGGTCACTATCATACAGCTGTTTGATAGCGAAACCGCGATCACACTGGGCTTCATCTTTGAAGTCGTGGTGATCAGGGTGAATTTGAACCATCATCACCTTGGCAAAGCCTCCGTGGTACTCCGCGTCATCGTCCTCTGCCAGCTTTGTAGCAAGAAAAGGCAGGATATGATGGTCTTGCAGTTCATAATGTTTGGCCTCGCCGTTCTCGCCCTGTGAAAAAAATGGAGCCAGAACATTCCACTGCTCGCGTTCAAAGTTTCGCAGCTTTGCAAGTGACCAGTGATGACGATTGAAGCATTGGAGAGGAGTTGACTGCGGTGTTCCATCAGATTCCTGACGGCGGATACCCATTACCACATCATTCTCCCGAAGCGCTACCAGAGGTAGATCAAGATCGCTAACATTCTCTTCGAGAAAATGTGAGATGGAGGGCGCCATCTCTACCAACATGAGTATTGCAAAAATCTTTTGATAAGACCGCAACTTTTTCTTGCCATTGTGCTCCACCAACGCCTCTTCACAGACTATCTTGGCGTAGTTTGCTATGTTTTCAGGCGTATGCGAACGCGTAAAGTCTGGATTCAAGGAGAGCTGTCTGGCCACGGAATCTTCGTTAACGACGTGGTATAGTTGTTTTCGTGGAAGGAAGCCTGAATCAGGAATATGTGACTCATTTTTCCGTACGCGGACCATGGCACGGAAGATGAGCTCTTGCAGGTCAAATGGCTGTCGAGACAAGAGGCCCGAATCCTTTCGCTTTGGCCGATGGTCCTGCTTTTGTCGCATTTCCTGCTGGTGACCAGCATCCGAAATGACGCTGACTGCTCTTTCGACATGTTCTGGTAGTTCACAAGGGAGCTTCAAGAAGTCGGAATAAGAGCCTTGTTTGAATGGTACATCCTCGAGCAAAGACAAGCCGAGGTCAGGCGAGGCGCACTGCGACCAATTAGTCTCGAGAGGAATCAAGCACGAGTGAACATTCATCGGCGTACCAGAGAGCTTTCACTTTTAACATACGAGCCCAACTCTTCCTGGGCACCCGAGATGGTTGAATCCCCACCTACTTCCACAATCCTCACATGAAAGTCTGTATCTGACTCATACTCGTCTCCGCTCGTGCCAGTGGCGGGATCAGAGTACAGTGATTGCTGAGGCAAAATTCGAGCATGGTTCCCAACATTATTTCCAGGAAAGTAGTATGCAGTGGCGATGGCCTTGTGCGTTGGAAGTGCATCGACAAAAGACGCGTTGTGGTTGCGCTTTCGCCCATTCAACACATAGTCGGGCACGTGATTCTGAGCCAGCGATGAGCCAGGTACAGAGTCATGCGCAGCGTGTACATTGTTGACTAGATGTTCTTTGTGTTGATTCACTGCATCAGACTTGGTCCATGTCCAGGCCCCTGAGAGATCCGTAAGAGCCGAATGATGGTGGCTGCGTTCACGGGGCAAAGAGTCCAACTTGGGCGGAGTATAGGGGGCTGAGTTCTTGACTGAAAGTACACGCTGTTGAGTCTGATGGGTCTCCTCTTCCTCCCCTGCCTGCAAATGATGCGTTTTCAGTATGGAAGGCATCTTAGACAACGACACATGTCCTGCGAGACATTGGTGGGTCGCAGCATTGCTTTATGAACTTATCATAAACTGGAGGACCAGACTGCGCACGATCAGGGTACTTGAATGGCAGCCCCCCAAATCCCAAGGGGGCTGTAATTGCGCGACCGGATTGTGGCTCATTGGTTGCCTGAAAGAAGGCAACTACTACGGTAATCAGCGAAGGCTGAACGGTGTAGCTTACTTTTTCAAGGATGTCGTGGCGTACCGGTAGCGGCGATCACACCACAGCTGAGACCGGTGAACAGGAGGGCGCGCCTAGTCCTCCATCTATATTACCAGCGATGGTCCTTCTCACGAAGATGGAGAACAATAACAGCATCGACATCACAGAGTCCGGTCTGAAATCTTCTAAATATTTTCTCGAAACCAGCACTACCCAGCAAGCCCTATCAGAGAAAACACAATCCTCACCACTTCAACCCACCCCCACAAAATCGCCACAAAATCACAACAGTCACCCAAATCAACCTAACCCCACATCTCTTCCAATGTCGCAAGTAAACACAACAACATGGCGGACAACCGCAGACCACTCCTCAGATTCAGACGAAGACTATTTCGAGCTAAACCCAACGCAAGCAATATCCGGCCGCAACATCGATCCAATGAAGCTCAAAGTCCTTCTCAGAACCAAATTCGGCGCAGGAGCATATGACATGCATGTACGTACAATACCTCTTATTTTCACTCTTCCGTGATTGCTACGAACAATGGGAAGCTGAGCGTGAAACACACAGCTTATGCAGAATTCATACCGTATAAGCGCACCGAGAAAACTCTCCAATGTAAGTTATGGGCGTAGTGATGGCTTTTTTACGGGATCTGACTTGACTTAGAGCGAGATTGCTAGATGTAGGCGGAACTAAGTAGAGATGGGATAGGGTAGCGAGGGAAATTGGTTTTGGTCAACGTTTGGAGCACAACCCATAGTTTCTTCGATTCGATAAAAGAATTTTCCAACATTATTCAAGGGACTGAAAACTGTAGTTTAATATAAGACTTCTCTGTTTCTGCTAGCCAAAATATTCCAATTCTTGCGCTGTTTATATTTGGTTCGTGCGATGACTCCAGGTCATACTTTGACTTGTGATGATAACTACCTCGACCAACATCATTTCAACCCCCCAATCTTACTCTAGCCACATTTCAAAATGCAAAACACCACAATTTCAAAACGCCTACAAACCCTCCATTGAATCTGGCAGAAGAAGAAGGACCCTTCTCGCCCCCCTCTTCCCCCCCCCCCCCCCCAAAAAAAAAGACAAGAAGAGAAATAAAACGCAGGCCACACGAATCCCAAAACACCACAAAGCTCACAAAAACTCATGTTGAATTATCCAACAACGGCAAAACAACCAGTTTCAGTATTAGCAAAAAGTACGTGCCCATATATACATTTACAATTCCAATCAAGCCATCTATGCTACAACAAAAAAAGGAAAAAAAAACTGAAACCATTACACCTCCCACCGTATAGACAAGTCGGAAGGGCAAACAAAACTCACTTCATTTCTCCCCTGCCCTCTCCCCCAAAGGAGAAAAGGAAAAAACCCCTAACCCAACCACGTACTCTAAACACTCATACCCCCTAAAAAAAGAACAAAAGAAAGAATATATACACATCTCCCACCCAGCCTACCCCCCTCCTCCACTCCCACCCTAACTTCCCCCCAACCCCAAAATCCTCCCATACGCATCCTCCACCTCCCTCGCCACCTCCAACAACGTCACAATAACAATCTGATGCGTCACATTCGGCAACCGATCACGATGCAGCCCAATCCACTCAAGCGGGGGCGTCGCCTCACCCATATCGCGCAGCTGCGGCGTCTCAATCAGCGGCGGCTCCAGGGCCGTGTACTCGTACCGGCTCTGGGGCACATTGACAACGGCCGTGATTTTCTCAGGGTTGGCAGACGGATCGAGCGGGGGATTGTTGGCGGAGGGCGACGAGGGCGAGGTGGGGGCGTCTGGGAGGACCTGGGAGGCGCTGATTTTGATGCCGGATTCTGGCAAGGGTTTGCCGAGGCGTGAGGCTAGGGTTCGTGAGTGGTTGGACCACATGGTGCGGATGTAGGATATGCGACTGTAGTTCCATCCCACGTCGACTTTGCCCTCGAGAGTGCTGCGGAAGAGATAGTCGATGTGTGTGCTCTTGGGAGTTTGCCAGGTGTGCATGCTTGCTATGACCTTTGGCACCCTGACTATCGTTCCACCTCTTGCGGATTGTGCGGTTGCGGACACGTCTTCGACGGTGAGTTCGGCGACGGAGATGCTCTTCTTTGCCGTGGGTACGGAGGATAGGGCGACAGAGAGTTGGCCCAAGGTCATGCCGAGACTGGAATGTATCTTTGAATTTTCCAAGGCGACTGCAAAGCGCGCTTGCATGTCGCCGGCTTCGAGCATGAGTATTTGCGTATCCACAAAGGTAGAAGGGAACACTCCGAATTTGATGGAGCGTAGTGTCACGACGACGTCTGTGTGCAATGAGATTGGAGCTTTGAATGCGTCTTCTTCATTCTTGTCAAGAACCTGGCTCGCAGAAGGTGACTGGTTGAATGGCGTCGAAAGAGAGGACTTGCGTCGAAGAAACTTCTCAATATCCCGCAGGGACTGCTTGTAAGCTTGCTGGTTCTCTTGGATGAGGCGCTCGATGGCTTGCCACAATGCAAGACCCTGTGCTGCGCTAGTAGCGTGACAGAAGACGTGGACTTTTCCGCCATCAAGAATAGCCACCAGGCGATCCCGCGATCCCTCACCTTCTTCACGCGCATTATACATCAAGAACCCAAAGTCGGCGATGTCTGCCATGACGAAAGCTTGATATTCAAACCCAGTCTTGATGCGAAGTTGGCGGAACGCAATCGATGCCTGAATGAGCGGCGTCTGGCGGGCCTCTGCCTCTTGCTTGGGCCAGCCGATGGAGGTCCGTACCTTGATACCATGCAATTCGATGAAACCGCTCGTGCGGCCAGAACTCTGGATTCCTATCTTCTCGACGCCAATGCATAGATTCTGTTCCCAGGTTGTGCTCTTTTTGGACGATGCCCACATGTGATGTATATGGAGTGAGGACTTTCCGATAGCTTGTCCAAGGTCGAGATCAACCTTGACATCCTCAATCTCAACATTGGCATTCCATGGGAAGGCTGTAGCGGCTGTGACTTGTTGATATCGTTGCATGAGAAATTCTTGCGGTTCAGAACTACCACTTGTTTGCGGTGCTTTAGAAGCGCGCCTGACCTCCGGTGGTACCCATATTTCTCTGAACAACAAGAAATCTTGTAATTGTCTGGCGTTGATTTGCAGGGCAGTCGGATTGATCTTAAGTATAGCCGAGATACCACTTGTACCGCTGAGATGCTTGCTGTTCATCAAGGAAAGCACTATAGAGTCCATGTCCAAGCTAAAGGTAGACTCGCGCGAGTATACATGCTGGACCGTGGTCTGCAATTTCTCGAATGTGGCAGAGGCTGCAAAGAAGTGACCGTGCTCTTGAGACTTGACGCTATTAACAGTAATGTAGATGTCTTCGATTTTGGCAATGGCAGTAACACGCGCGATCGGTTGACAACTCAGACTGAATTCTTGTCTGCAGATCCTAAGACCCAAGTTTAGTCTTGTTCTACCAAGTATGGTAGCAGGATCGGCAATGGTGATATTTTCGTCATCAAGGAGCTTTACGGAAGGCTTATGTAGGCTCTGCATTTCCTCAGCTGACTTGGGTGACTCGTCATCGTCCTTGTCACGGACGACTGCCTTGACACTGTCTGATATGTCAATTATGATGGGCACAACCGTGGGCAGTAAAGTGTTCGTTGAAGCATCAACACGGAGCTCGGCGTTCAGTGATGGTTCATGCCCATCATCTTGATATTCCACCCGTATAGCCACACCAGGCGCCCGTAAGGCCATGCTGCTTTGAGAACTGTCACCAACAAACTGGCTGTATCTCCCCTTTTGCTGAGCACGACTGGATGGACCTTGTATCGGCGAAGTGTCACTCCCATTTATATGCACTACAGCTCCCGCGAAATTGGTATCGACTGTGAGCGATGCTAGGCGCTTGTTGCCAAATGGGTTTTTCCGTTGCGCACCCGTCGTGGTCGGCACAGTGCTCCAATTCGCGGATGCTTTACGAAACTTTCTACCGGCGACTGCAATGGACCTCTCAATAATGTTTGCAGGCAAAATAAAATGTGAATCGAGCTGCAGGTCGAGAGACTTGCCCGCAGCTCGAAAGGCTACACTACGTGTCTCTTTGGTAGACGCATAGGCTACACTGAACACCATCTCGGGGAGCAATGCGGAGTTGTGAGACCGAAACTTCTTGTTCTGCGAAACTGGTACCATTTGCAATCTCATTTCTTGGATCATCAGCCGTGCTGCATCCTCTTTCTGACTCGATAGGTCGATTCGTCCAAAGGAAAGTACAAGATCTTCAGTTTCACTTCTGGGAAAAGCCGCCACAGAATTACCGATGATCCAGCTGATTTGCATATCGAGCAGCTCCACAGAGAAGGTGGACGTGAACAGCGCTCGCGATTCAAGTTTGTCTGAGTCTATGCGTACCTCACTTTTGACGCTCTTGGCTCGCTTGCGTGAGAGTCTGCTTCGAGTGTCGCGAAGTCGTTGTAGGTACTTCTTCTCCTTTGAGAAGTCGAGATCCTTGATTTTGTCCTGCAGATGGTTCATTACGTCGACCACAGCAGATGCAGTGTCTGCAAACAGATTCACTTCGAGTCCGGAGCTCCTCACACGATATACTCTCCGCAGGGGTTCCGAATTCTCCTCGGTAGTGGCTCGGAAGGTGGCCGAAAATGTGAGGTTACCGCAGCGGCGCACGGTATCGGCATGGATCAAAAGCATTTCCACTGTCACTTCGTGGATACGAATTGAAGCCTCGGGGTATAACATAGCGCTCTGATCTGCGCTGATGTTTGTAGCTCTGAGCTGTACAGTTGACAACCGGAACGCAAGGTTAGCTTTTGGAGAGTCGGGATGCCGGCCAGGAGCATTTGCGTGGATGTCCATTCCCGAGAATGTCATCTGCACACCGAACAATATCTCTCTGGAGGTGCTGGGCTCTTTGACAGCTGGGGCGCTTAAGTGCGGTGGGAAGATTTCAATTACATGGCCCTTCAGAACCTCTACGTCCTCCTGAACAGATCGCAACATGTGCGACATCTCAGGCTTGGTTAGTGTTGTGACGAGAGCCTGTACCTCTGAAGCTTGTAACTGGACCTTTTCAACGATGCCCGATGCTGAGATATTGATCACTTGCTCCGTTTGCGTGACAGTAAGACGGCCATTTAGTGGAGGTAACTGCAAAGTGCTGATGACATTCGAACCCTTCGGCGTCGTGCTATACATTCTATGATAACTTGCTTCCAGATCATAGTCAATCTGCAGCGTGACGTTTTTCCCGAGTGTTGGGATGACTGCGATACGTCCCGAGGAGCCCGTGATCGACCAACCCAGGGGCTGGAGAAGTGCAAGCTCAACCTGGTAGGAGTCCATGAAGAGAGCGAGGGTGATGTTTGGTAGCTGCGTGACCTTGACGGCTGGTGTCGAGGTTTTTGTTGCGGTATCAACGATTTCTTTAACAATTTTTGCTTGTCGCTGAAAGTAGACTACTTCGTCTCGAAGTACTGCATCGACAGTCTCGACAAGTCCGAGAACATCTTCTTCGACCTTCACAACGATTCTCCGACTTGCTGCTGCTGCCTTGATCTCGTCAGGTGTACCACCTTCGACGGCATGTTTAATCATCGCATAGTTCAGGCTTGGTGCCTCGTATTGCGCCTTGGCCAGAGAGCGCGATCGTGAGAACAACTCACCCACACCGACTTCCATGTGAACGTGGGCAGCCAGAGTCTCGCCTAGACCCGAAGTATTGGCTTTCGCATCGACAAAAGACATTCGGAAGTGATGGCCCGTGTTCACACTTCGCAGATTGATAGTATCCAGGGCAAACTGAGCTTGATCGGTCGCAAAAACGACATGTAGCTCTTCATCGTATGTAGGCGCTTCAGGATGGCGTAATTTGGCAGTGGCTGATATTCCCTTCTCTGCTACTCTAAGATTCTCCTTTTGAAATAGCTCCAACAAGGCTTCTGCAAGCTCGCAAATTTCCCACTGGACGTGGAGGGAAGTCTCCCTGGAGCTGATTTGCACTAGTGTTGACTTCTTCGGAATGTCAGTGCCAACCAGCATGAGGCCATCCGGCTCTGTCGGAGGTAAGAGAGCAGCAGTAATGGCAAAGAAGCGCAATGCTACTTCACTCTGCTGCGGACCTGGGTCTATCGTCAACTTGATCAAAGCAGATTTGATATCAACGTGTACAGGTGCCGAATCGGGTGTTGGAAGCTTGTCGTCCACGTGATCAAACAAAAGCTTCATCGCAAGACTCTTCTGCACGTGCGCAAGATCCCATGAGCGCCACTGGTCCCACATTGTAATGATCTTCTGCTCCGCGTCTTCAGGGCAATTTACATTGGTCTGGGAGCAATCATTAAGAATCGCAGCTTTTTCATCCCGGGTCAGAGACTCCCACGTATAGCGAAAGCGCGAAATGATCTTCCAAGAATCGTGACTCCGCAAGTGATCTCGGGCAGCACGAAGCGTGTACGAGGCCTTCGTTAAAAATGCAGGATCTGAGTATTGGTCCTGCACGCTCGTGAGAGTCCAGGCGAGGAAGCGCAGTCTATGCCGTTGCCTTTGATCGATTTCGACGAATTGGGTGACGAGCTTCTCGGCCAACAACGTCGTCCGATGGATAAGTGCTGCAAGATAGTCGATCTTTTTGCTCGCCACAGCTGATTCGAAAGCACGAAAGGAGACATTGACCGACGTTTGCTTGTTCTGCAAAACCCAGACCAAAACTTCCTTGAGCTCTGCTTGGATTGCGACATCTTGACTCGGTCCATGCGGACTGCGCTCTGTTACAGACACACCGATTGAACCTAGCGTTGTATGGAGGGACAGCGAGTTTTCTCCAGCTCGTTCGCCAGGGTAGTTTTTGATCCGCGCAGCCATGTTCAACTGATTTAGGATGACATCATACTGATCTTTACCAGCGGCCACCGTGGGCTGTGTTTGGAATGCGTGCTGAAACCTGATATGTGTGAAGGGTACGCGTACACTGAATTCTAGAGAGCTGCCTTTGCCCTCTAAACGGTTTCTGTTGTTCAAAATCATGTTCATAACCTTGACTTGGAAGTCGTCCAGTAGATCGTCAGGCCGCTTTGGTTGAATCAAATCGATCATGTCAGAGATGCATTTGACAAAAGTCGGAGTACAGTATACTCGTATGCCCGAATCAGCGCTGATCAAGAGGCTAGTATGCGTAAAGCTCTCGTCCAGGTGGTTAGTAGACACGTCGTTGAACGAAGGACCATCCATGTCGCGCTCTCGCGGGGCCATCCGCAAATGTGGAATGGTGGGAACGTCGGACACGTCTGGCTGCACATCATCTAGCGGAAATTTTGGCACTCCTAGAGAACTAGAAAGCGCTAGCGATGTAGGTGTCAAGTACCCTCTCTTGTGCTTTCCAGTAATTGATGGCTTGTGGGCGTGACGCTGACGATCCAAACGTTCCGGTGAGCTTGTCAGTAAAGTCCGGCTTCTGCTGGATTCGGCAGTTCTATCCACGTTTTTTCGTCGTGGAGTAGACCGAATACTACACTCGGCGAACAG